TGGCCATCCCCATTCAGGAAGGTGTCAGGACAATGTAACATGTCACAATATATACCTGCACTCTGGCCTCAGTCAGGTCTATCTTGAGGGCCAGCTCCTCCCGGGTGTAGATATCTGGATAATGGGTCTCAGCGAACACTCTTTCCAGTTCTTTCAGTTGGGCGCTGGTGAATGTGGTCCTTATCCTCCTCTGCTTCCTCTTCTCATTCAGCCCGCCGTGATCAGTGAACAGCTTGTAAGGCACTGCGAAAAGCAAAAGCACAAAGCCCAGAGGGGTTAGAATACAACCATTGCAGGGGACCAACACCAAAGTAATACAAATACAAGAAGTGCTCTGTACTGGATGAATCCCTCGTTTTATCATTCAACTCATCTTTAACTCAATAAGTAAATAAATAAAAGAGAGAAAGAAAGAAAGAGAAAGAAAGAAAGAAAGAATGAAGGAAGGAAGGAAGAAAAAAGAAAGAAAGAAATAGAAATAGGAACTCAATAAGTAAGTAAATAAATAAATAGAAGAGAGAAAGTAAGAAAGAAAGAAAGAAAGAAAGAAAGAAAGAAAGAAAGAAAGAAAGAAAGGAAGGAAAGAAAGGAAGAAAGAAAGAAAGAAAGAAAAAGAAAGACAGAAAGAGAAAGAAAAGAAGAAAAGAAGGAAGGAAGGAACGAAGGAAAGAAAGAGAGCGAGAGATAAGAAAGAAAGAAAGGAAGAAAGAAAGTAAGAAAGAAAGCTTTAGTAGTGTACCAAAACAAATATATGTTACTATCAGAATAATAAAAACAAGATAATACTGAAAATAAATAAAGAGCTATAGCAATATAGGTAATATAACCATGTACTGTACCAAGTTCTACATTTCATGCCAAAACATCTATCTATCTATCTATCTATCTATCTATCTATCTATCTATCTATCTATCTATCTATCTATCTATCTATCTATCTATCTATCTCTGTCTATCTTTCCCTAGTATCAGTGTGGACTAGTGGCCCATATCCAGGGGTGAGAAGGACTGTGGTGCCAGGAACAATGTCCATGCTTGGTAGGTGGGTGGTAAGGGGCAGCGCTGGCAGTCTAGTCGGTGGCCAGTGAAGTCCCTGTATTTTAGGACAGTGCCTGCGCGATGATGAGTTTTTCTCTCGGGTTATCTAATTATTTGCTAGGCTTTACGTCTCATCCCGGAGTAAATAAATTATGCCTATCATTTTGGCAGCTTAAGATAATTTTGTTGGCGGTTCGGGTGTGACTAGGATAGTGTAACCCTGTAACTGAATTACGCCTCGCCTGCAATCGCTTCTAACGTGATAAATTCTTTCATTTGTGTAAGCAAATTTGGTTTGGTAAATACTAAACACATTTCCATTTTCAAATGCAATCAAGGATTCCTATATACGAGGGAAGAAGGGACTGCTTCCTCGCAGGGAAGGGAAGACTTGCACAAGCCACTTACCTGCTGCATAGGGGCTGCTCTGGTGGTCCCTGAGAGTGCCAAGGCTGCAGGATCCGGGGGTGAGGGATGGGCAGCCGGAGGTGGCCCCAAAAGTGGTCCTGATGGGGTTGTACTGGAAGCCACTGGCTTGGCTGCACGAGCTGAAGTCAGCATAGGCTGATGCCAGGCTGGAGGTGTCCATGCCAGCCATACATGACTCGTAGGCAGAGGAATTGAGGTAAGAATATTCCATTTTATACATTGAAAAGGCTCTGGAAGGCTCACCAAAGAGGGAAAGAAATAGACTAGCTGGAGGAGGAGGTGGCTGTGTGCTGCTGATGTGCTCTGTTCCACGCCTGCTTCAGCACTGGCCTCCTTACTAGCAGCAGAGCCTAGTTTTATGAAAAAGCCTCCTATGAGATGCCTTGCCTGAGGTCTCTAGAGCATATAGTGCTCATAATAAACTTGGCTCTTTCCACTTGGACAATAGCAAAGCGGTTGGTCTTATTGCTGGCGCTTTTTACATGACAATAACTCATCAGTCTATTGGGCTGGCACTGGGGGGACCTAGCTGTCCAACCTCCCTATCATTGATTCCCTGCATCTCTAATTAGAATTTAATAGCACACCATTACGTAGCGAGCCCTCCATCCTCCATTCTAACCAGCTCCCTGCCCTTTAATTCAATCACACTCTGTGCAAATAATGAAAGTTGGGTGACGATTCTCCCTGATCCAATTTCCCCCCAGCTTTTAAGCCATTTCAACCCATCATATATACCTTTGGCAATAAATTGAGATGCCGTCTTGTTGATGTTGACTCCTTTTTCTTGCTCCCCTGCAGGCCTTATGTAAACAGGCAACAAAAAAAAAAAAACTTTTATGATCAGGGTCACACTGACCTACACCAGTGCTTGTCCCTTCAGTGCAGGTAGGGATGGCATAGAGGTTCAGCGCCGGGCTCAGCACCATGGCCAGGGCACGGCTGGGAACTCCTTCCTCAGGAGGCCCTGAGGACTCACATCAGCCTGGCAGCAAAGCTGGCACTTTAATAGCAGGTGAACCAAGGCAAGTCTCTTCTCTGCAGAGTCTGCACACTGCACACTGGGTCAGAGCAGATCCCACATAGCCGATGCCTGGAAATTGTATCGTTGATGCATGTTCATTTAATATATATTATTATATTATTGTTTTAATTGCACCTTTTTAATGTCTAGTTTATAATTTGTCTGCTGTAATTAACATTATTTACTCAGTACATTTTTATATTTATGATATTATTGGGTTTACTTCACCTTTTTAATGTCTATAGTTTATCCTTTTTATGCCTTAATTGACATTATTATTTTTATTAGCATTATTTGGTTTATTGCATCTTTTGAATGACTAGGTTGTCCTTTTTCTGCTGTAAATACCAATATTTACACAGCAAATTATAAATCCCATTATTTTCAGTATTAATATTCTCATTAATATTACTGAAATTACCACCACAATCACTAAATATGCTGTTGCTTTATTTTTCAGTAGAAAGTAATATTGTTTTTATTATTACTGCTATTACCACCATAATCACTAAATATGCTGTTGCTTTATTTTTCAGTAGAAAGTAATATTGTTTTTATTATTACTGCTATTACCACCATAATCACTAAATATGCTGTTGCTTTATTTTTCAGTAGAAAGTAATATTGTTTTTATTATTACTGCTATTACCACCATAATCACTAAATATGCTGTTGCTTTATTTTTTAGTAGTGTTCCCTCTAATAACTGCAGTAATAAGAACATGATCATAGCTCCTATCACCTCTCCAGTCCTCTCTCCTTACCCTCATTTTGCATAGCATTGTTCTCAGCATTGCCTTTGCTGGATATCACATATAGCATCGGTGTAGAGATGCCCACTGAGTAGCCCCGCTCCTAACATTTGCCCCTCCGTGCCCTCTCTGCACGCAGCCCTTCTGTCCTGCCTTAAATTACCCAGCAAGTGACATGATTGCACATAGATGATCTTCCCCATCCTGCTGCCTGGGGAGGTTCTTGTGAGGAAGAAAACATTCATTATTCTCTTCATTTCCCCCTACACACAATTTCATTTTGGAGTTATTTGCAGCAGATCAGCAGCTTGGGCAGAAGCAAGACACTGAAATCCATCTAGATTTGCCTTATTTCCGAGGCTGCTGGTGAGGGAGGCTCTCTGCAAGGCAGGAAAAAAAACCCCCATACAACTCCTTGTAAACAAATGCTGGGTATTTTACATGATCCTAACATGTGGATAATTAGTTCAGCTGCATTCATTACCCCCTTTATGTGGTCTGTAACAAGTCCATAATTAAAGTAACAAACTCATAAAGGCTTAATGGGGGTATTTAAGCTGTACAGTGCTTTCCAGGTTCATTCAGATTCAATAGACAAAAACAAGCACATTAAGATGACACTTTTTTTTAAAGCTCCTGGTGTGTCCTGGCATTTGATCACATCACTCACAAGAGTCCTTGTCCTTAACAAAGATGGCACTTTGCAGCCACCATCATTCATAAAGTTTTGTGGCCAGCACTGAGAGTTTTATGACATAAGTTGATTGCTTTATTGCTATGGCCTGATGCACAATGTGGATTTGATCAAGAATAAAGGCTTGCAGGCTGCTGGGGAGTAACGTGGTGGCAGTGATGGGATGAAAATAAATGGGAACGCAGTTTTGGTGACAAATTGCAGGATTCTTCATGTCTTTTATTTTTCTTTTCTGGTGGCCAGACAGCAGGAGAGAATAGCAGCAGAGACATCAGTCTTCAGTAGTCCCAGTGCAAAGGCCTGCAAAGACGGATGTGAATCCGAATGCACTTACAGCAAGAATTTATCTTTATGTATCCTGCTCCTCATGAATATCAATGCACATTTTAGTCAGGGGGTCTATTCACCTCTGCAGCAACTAATGGATTCTTCTTTACTGACAAAGAATGTCAAATAGTAAGCTTTTCTACTATCCTAACCATTTGATGGGCTGGTCTTCAATTGTCATGCCAGAAAAAGCCATCTGAGCCTACCTGTATGGTGAATAACACTGTATGGATGAATATTTCTATTTATAGTTTAACAACATTGTAGTAAATATAGGAAGATAAAATGCAGCAGTTGTTTCAGATTAATCTCTGATCATATTTATTATTTTCTAACCTGTGTGTGTGTGCTATAAATAGACCTTCAAAATACCTTAAATTGAGCTTTTATGTTTTTTTTACATAAAATGATGAGCATAACATAACATAATCAAATATAACAATATCAAACGGTGTTTTATTTAAAAAGAAAATAATAAAATAAATTGCTTAAAAATTGTGGTGAGAGCAAATATAACAATAGAACAATGAAAAAAGTCACTGACTGAATAGGTACTATACTATATATAGTATATATATAGATCTATATATATCTATATAGATCTATATATATATAGATCTATATAGATATATATAGATCTATATATATAATATTTCAGTTTGTACCTTGCTTCTGAAAATATTTTGTAACTAGATGTTATTTATTTATTACAAATGCATTTTTTTAATGCATTACTATATTACCATGAACTTGGTGATCAGACTGCTCTCTAAAGTATTATGGTCCAATTTAAATTTTACACAAATAGAACAAACAGCAATTCTGTGTATATCTGATTGTTCTGCAAGGCATTTCTGTAATTTCCTTATCAAATAAATACAAATGAAATGACATGTGTAGTTTGTGTTCTGTTACATATTGCTCTTTATATATTATATTTCTAAATTTGTTGTTGTGTTATAGTTTATATGCTCAAAAGAAACGTTGGTAAATACATAATTTAAATCCTACCTACAAATGAATGCAAACCTGTCTTATTTCAATTAAAAACACAATTGTTTCATGTGTCAGTGTTTTGGTTGGTGACAAATTCTGTGAATATATATATAAGATATTGTTTATACCATATCTCTCTCATCTTCTATCTCCCTCTCTCTCACTGTCTTTAAAATTCTGCTGTTTCAATTGTTTATCCTCTTATTTTCCCATCATGCCTCACTCTTCTTTGTGCTTGTTTTGTGATATATCCTTCAGAACACAATATCCAGAATATATGAGTGGTTATCATAGCCAGTCATTGTTCACAAGAAGCTGATCTGCTTTTCCTTCCTCAGAAATGTCCAGATTCTAACATTAACTAATCATCCTTCATTGTTCTCTTCATTTCAGAGTACAGCCTGCCAGAGTTCACAATTGGTATACATTTCCAGTGTTCATATATACACCTTCCTTTTTTCATTTCCTTATCATTGAATTCTGTCCCTATGTTCATATACATGTCTTTCTATATTCATATTATCTTATCGTTGAATCCCCGCTTACTAAGTGGCAAGTACCTGCTCTCAGGTTTGTTTGTTCATCAAATAAAGAATGCAATCAAATAAATAAAGAAAGAATAAACAAAGAAATAAAGCGTAAATAAAGAATGCATGTGTAAGACTTTAAAGTGAAGTGTCATGATTGGATTTGGCTGATCAGTTTAATTAGTTAAGTTTTAACATTGAGGCAATAGTCAAAACTGATATTTTACCATTTTTCAGTGAATTATTTGTATAAATCTGATCTGGGTACTTTCACCACTCATTTTACCATACAGCAGCTAAGCCTTTCAAGTCTGTTTCTAAGTAGCTACACCATCCTGTCTCCGGCATGACCTATTATTTCAAGCATCCATAAAATGGGCAATACAGGACAAAACAGAGAAAAGAAGTGTGTCATAAAAAGCAATAATTTTTCTATTATTTTGTGGCCTTGCGATTTCAATTAATTGCAAGGCCAACAATTGACGCAGGGAAAAATCTAAAAATGTACTAGTAAAATAAACAAAACAATTATAAAAATGGCCCGAAATATTACAATTACATGTTTGGGGTGCCAGATAAAATGCTTCTCGCTCTATTTGCACTCTGAAAAATGAGCACATACAGGTTTATTCAGCGCTAAAAGCAGTAATGTGCGAAGCACACTAACCTATACACAATCAAAATGTATCTATCATTGATCTTCTCCAGAGAAATCTGGTTGATATGGGTTACTGCTCATTTCACATGGTAGCTGCTCCTGCTCGAACAAGTGTAGCCACCACTGTCTGCAGTATGAATATAAACCCTGCAGTCATTGAGGAGTCAGGCAATATGTCAGTGAACTGTCTTTCGTTGAAGATACTACTACTGCTAATTCCGAAAATTCTCTCAATTTACCTTAATGTGGGTTTTATGCTGTTCATTGCATTTATATTCCAGGAAGATCCCACATGTGCATCTGAGTACCTCTACAGATGTGTTCCCTACT